TACTAGTCGTGATTATACTTGCTTTGGGTACTTATTGCACTAAAAAGCATTCTTGGTCTACTTTAACTAAGAGTACTTTGGTTGAAATTTGAAATTTTTTGCTAAATTTTGTCCTGAGTACCTGTTTTTAGTCCTTGACTAACACTTGTGCTCACATTGTTATCATTTTTTGTTTTTAAACCTCTTAAATCGAATTACAATGGTTGGTAAGACTCACAAATGTGGGCAACCAAATTGTTTGTTCTCCGTTGAGGAGGGGATGCAGTGTGACGATTGTAAAAAGTGGTACCACAAAATATGTACACGACTAAGTCCGACGGCTTACAAAAGATGCCCGAAGCCTAACTCGCATTGCCTTTGTATGTTCTGCTGTACGGATAAAAAGGTACTAATACGGGAGGCTATGGGCCTATTGGCTTTGGCCTGCAAGAAAAACGACGGCGGAAGCACTGATAACAGGAGCACTGACGATGAAGAATGTGGCAGTGTAGTAAGTGCTGCTACTGGACCCGTTAAACACTTGACCGCGGTTGACGGGAACGTGAAATCTCTGTTGACATTAACGAGGAATGAAGTGTCGCTTGATATTGACATCGGCAGTCATACACCTCTAGTCGAAATAGAAGATCCGGATAAAACTGTCACCGTTCCACATAGTCCAGGTGTGGCTGTTCTGAGTGGCGGCATATGGACTTCGGTAAGAAGGAAAAAAATAATAAAAAAAAGGCTGTAGGCAAAACGCAGCTGGTCAGCAAGACATTGGAAGGGGTGTTATCAGAAGAAAAATCCTCACCGCGTGACAAGACAGATCTCTCTGATAGATCAGTCATTTTTTATAAGATAAGAGAATCTTCAGATACTGAACCAAAGGCAAGATTTGAACATGATCTCAATCATATTAAGACATCATTAAGTAAACTACTCCCAGATACAGTTTCAGGAGTTAGTATTTGTAGGCTTTATAGAATAGGAAAAAAGGTGGATTCCGAAAGTCCTCAGAAAAACCGCCTCCTAAAGGTTACATTCAATACGGTGGAAGAAAGGAACCTGATTCTAAGTAATTCACGTAAACTGATTGGATCTGGAATATATGTCCGTGAGGATCTTAGCCTAGCTGATCGTATTTAGAGAAGAGATGCAAAAGCGGAAATAAACGAGCGTCGCCGAAATGGTGAAAGAAATCTCGTTCTTAAAGGTTTTCAGATTGTAAAAGTTCGGAGCAAAACGATCCCCAAGCCACTCTGGGTGGCAAGGGAAAGTTCTCCACAGACCTAAAAGTGTGCTACACAAATGCTCGCAGCCTACTAAATAAAATGGCGGAGCTGAAGTCAGTGGTGGATAAGGAAAAACCGGACGTTATCGCTGTCTCGGAAACTTGGTTAACGTCAGAAGTATTAGATAGTGAAATCCAGTTGACTGGTTTCATAACCAGTAGGGCTGATAGATTAAACCGAAGGGGAGGCGGGGTTATTGTGTACACGAAAAGTACCCTAACCATAAGATTAGCTGAGATAGTAGCAGATGTTTCAGGGACATGTGAACTAGTGAGATGTAAGTTGAAATGCCGAAGGCAAGATATTGAAGTAGTTGAAGTTTATCGCAGTCCAGAAAGTGTAGCAGATGATTTTCTCCTAAGTAAACTTAAGTCCTGGTGTAACAACGGTAAAAGCCTTGTAGTAGGCGACTTTAATGCACCATATATAAACTGGGTAAACTTAGAAGTAGGGTCAGCCATATCGTCTTTCGACTCCAAACTGTTAGAAACCTCGATTGGACTAGCATTATTACAACACATAAGAGATCCCACAAGATACGACTTAAGAAACTCGTCTTCTATTTTGGATTTAGTCTTCACGCACGGCGATGACGTTGGTCAAACGGCTTTTCTTCCACCACTTGGGAGAAGTGACCATGCAGTCATCTTATTCAAATTCATGGTTGAGATTGCTTGTCAAACAATTGCGCCGGCCCGTCCTAACATATGGAAGGCAGATATGCAGGCAATTAACTCCGCAGCATCGGCTGAGAACTGGGAAATTGATTCAAAGACATCAGTACAAGAGGCATGGACTCTATTCAGGCAGTTATATAATCGGGTAACTCAACCATACATACCCTGGACTGTCCCAAAGAAAAAGAAGCACGGACATCCCTGGATATGGCGGGATATTCGACGCTTACTAAGACAAAAGAAGAAATGCTGGGATGTTGCCATCCGCCTTGGCACAGCAGGTACGCTGGAACGTTACAGATCGATAAGAAACGAGTGTATAACTAAAATTCGGGAAGCGCAAAGAAAATTTGAAATGGAGCTGGCACAATCTGCACTCAAGCAGCCCAAGAGGATCTTCTCGTACATAAACTACAGAACAAGGATTCCTCATTGGATTCCCAACCTAATTAAAGTAGGAAGTGAATCTGAACTGATAGAGGAAGATCAGGAAAAAGCTGAGGTTATGGCTGACTATTTTGGGGCAGTTTTCACTCAGGAACCTCCTCTAGAGAAAGAACCAGACCCAATTATAGAGTCAACAAACCAGCTGCTCACCGTGGACTCCAACCAAAACAATGTGGTTAAGGCTCTTATCACCCTAAATATGGAAAAGTCAACAGGACCAGATGAACTACACCCTAAAATCTTGAGACATATAGCCCAATATATCGCAGCCCCACTGACTGTGATATTCAAAATGTCACTTGACCAAGGTGTGTTTTCTATGGACTGGAAGGACGCAATCGTCACTCCCATACATAAAACAGGTCGACGACAAGTTCCATCGAATTACAGACCCGTAAGCCTCACCAGTGTTGTAATTAAAATACTGGAAAGAATAATCAAACGGACCATAACGGCATTTATGGAAACAAATAACTTGCTGAATATGGCACAACATGGTTTTAGAAAGGGTCTATCCTGTACAACGAACCTCCTTATAGCTAGGGAGCTCTGGATTAATGCGCTAGACAACGGAAACTCAGTGGATGTTGTCTACATAGACTTCAGTAAGGCTTTTGACAAGGTGCCAACTAATAGACTGCTATTGAAGTTGGCAAACCTTGGTATTGCCGGACCTCTTTTAAAATGGATTAAGGATTTCCTAGTAGGTCGTAGGCAAAAAATAAGAATAAATTCCAAGTGCTCCACCTGGAGACCAGTACTTAGTGGGGTACCTCAAGGTTCAGTCCTAGGTCCTTTACTTTTTATATTGTACGTTAATGATCTTACAAATATAGTACAGTCTCCAATGTTATTATACGCTGACGATGTAAAAATTTGGCGAGTAATAACTGGAGAAAAAGACGCATTTACTCTTCAGGCGGACTTAAATAATATGATAAACTGGTCTAAAGAGTGGCTGATGCCTGTCAACTCGGAAAAGTGTGTCTACATGCACTTAGGGGATTCAAAGGTTAATACATACAACATAGGGGATGTGTCATTGCCCGTAGTCCGGTCTCATAAGGATCTAGGGGTGACAGTGAGCAATGATCTTAAGACGACGGCCCATTGCCGGGAGGTCGCAGTTAAGGGGTTTCGAACCCTCTGGGCTTTAAAAAGGACATTCACTAAGTTTGATACTACCATGTTCACCACATTATACACATCCTTAGTGAGAACTCAGTTAGAGAACTGTGTTCAGGCTGCAAGCCCCTGTTTAAAAGGTGACTCAGACATACTAGAAAAAGTGCAGAGGGCAACTACGCGTGCGATTCCGGAACTCCGGGGTTTATCACATAAAGAGCGGCTTGAAAAACTGAACCTCTTTACTCTGTCCTATCGCAGACTAAGGGGAGATCTAATATTGATGTACAGAATATTGAGACATGATTTCGGACCTAACTTATTCTCTCTTTTTCTTCCCACTAGATCGGGACACCTCAGAGGACATAGCAGGCGAGTAGAAAAGCCAAGAACGAACAAAATACCCGTGGCATACAGGTTTTCACACCGAGTCAGCAATACTTGGAACCTGCTGCCTGAAGCAGTGGTGTCCGCACCTTCAATTGACTCTTTCAAGAGAAGACTGGACACTCACAGAAGCATACTAGAAAAGGAATAACATAGGCTGTAGGCCTTCTGTCCTTACCACACAAATCTGAATCTGAATCTGAGATATCATCCCAGCATGCAATGGACGTACTGTGTAACGCAGTCGAACGTGGCGAATAAAAATATAAAAAAAGATCAAAATTAGCTATATAATCTAGGTATTTAATTAAAAATACATTATGAAATGACAAAATCTGTGGTTACTTGAACGCACAGATGACCGATACATTAAGTTTACATGGTTGCGTTACGGATAAGATCACCAAAAACAAATATTAAATCTCATTTTCAATACTAAATTTAGAGACAATAATTAGAAATAGGAGGTGTAATACCGGACGTGACTGCAGATGCAACATCCACTCCTTATAAATGATGTATAGGAATTCATCACTAGTTGAACTGGTCCAAGTAACTTCCTTGTAGCCCTTCAAGAAGCAAATTGATGGATTCTTAAGAATCCGCTAATAGTTCTCTCATTTCCACATGCTTTTTGTACCTAAGTCCGTACCTGTAGGAATTTGTGTCAGGACACGAAAACTCAAATTATGCATTTCACAGAAAACTCATTCACATAAACATAAGTGGATATAATAGTTAGATGAAATTCAGAATTTGTAAGCTTATAATCAAAGTAAGACTTGGAACCAAGACTTCTATCTTTATTCAATTCTAATGCACTTGTGGTAAGACAAGAGAATGTAAATTCTAAAAATAATGGTAAAGTTATTACGTCCAAAAACTAGTTACAAAACAGTATGCTTTATCTATCCTCCCATATATTGGATTACAACAAGAAACGCCGAAATCATGTCGGTCTTTCCAACACGACAGGATTTATTCTACTCTCTTCTCAGCTGAAATTCACGTTTCGTACTTAAGCCGCTATTTGTGAAATGATATAGTACATTCGTTTAACTGTATCGATTTTAATGCTCTGCTGGCCGCCGCCTTGTTCGGGGTTGGTTTGCTTCATATTTTCAATAATAGCTGTCTGTCGTCTTTCGAGCATTTCTGTATCTTTTTATGTGTCATTATTGTCAGTTCCCTGTTTTTGTATTACTTCCCAGGTATATTAGTAAGCAGATCATCTCATTAGCAACGACAGTTACTGTTTTCTCAAGTACGTACTTGAGAAAACAGTAACTGTCGTTGCTAATGAGATGGTCTGCTTACTAATATACCTGGGAAGTACCTGGGAAGGTATACCTTCAATCCTCAGTAATAAGAATAAGTCTATCGACTTATATTAATCCTTGCAGTTTATAATACTGTGGAGGTACAATCTCGTTTTGAATATATCAACAAAATGTGCTGGTATTACGTGTCTTGGTAGATAATTCCAGTAATTTACTACTCGTTGCGAGAAAAAAAACTCCAGACGTAAACGATTTGATCTCGGTTTTCAAAATTTCTTCGAATGTCTTCTCAAATGATCAGCCCTAGATGGAAGTAAAAGATAAGACATGTTAATGCTAAAGTCATCGTTCAGTATACGATAAGCCAATATTAATTCACCCCATATTCTACGGTAAAATAACGGAAATAAGTTAAGGTATCTCAGTCTGTCTTTATAAGATAGGCCAGATAGACCTTTTACCATCTTAGTACTTCGTCGTTGGACTCTTTCCGGTATATCTGCTTCGTACTTAAAACAAGGACTCGCTGCTTGAATCCCATATTCTAAATGTGGTCGAGTATAATAATTTAAACATTTCGTCATCTAAATACTGGAAAAACCGACGAATAGACCGTAATACCCTTTCGCAGCAGCAGCCTTGCAGTGACTAGTGGTTTTGAGATCACTGCTTAATATGACTCCTAAATCTATAGTTTCTTACTTTGGGTAGCACGCATCCACATATTGTATGGTGATACTATTGATTATAGTTATTTAATTGCATCACCACACTCTTATTAGGATTTGCCTCTAGCGACTACCTGTCCAGCCATCCCACCAATGAGCTAAGATTATCTTGTAATACTATTCTATCCGACATGCTGTGTATGGTTCTACAAATTTTTGTCATCAGCGATGAGTAGAACGGATGATTTTGCTACAACTGATAATTCATTCGCATAAAGTATAAAGAGAAGAGGACTGAGGATTGTACGTACCTTGGGGAACTCCACTTTTTACAGGTACCCACTAGGCGAGAGCTCCATTATCCCTTACCCTTTGTCTCCTGTCATAGAGAAAGTTACTTATCCAATCTACGACTGTATAACGGATTCCAAAACGTTCCAGTCTGGATTTAAGACCAGAATGGGAGAGCTAATCGAAGGCCTTACTTAGATCTATGAATATCACATCTACAAGAATATTCCGATCTTTTGCCGCAGCCCAATCTTCTCTTGCAATGAGATTTGTCAAGCATTATAGGCCTCTCCGAAAATCATGTTGTTCCCTGGAGAAAAGATTATGCCCTTCAACACAGTTTATAGTAGATATCCGAATGATTTTTTCCATGTTTTACAACCTCACTAGATAAGCTAACGGGTCTGTAGTTACTAACCAAATCCCTACTCTCAGCCTTATGAACCGGACTTATTACCGCATCTTCTCAGTCTCTGGACAGTCTGGACTGCCTCAGGGACATGTCAAACAGTATCGCTAATGGTTCAGCAATCACATCTGATATGGATTTCATAATCCTAGGATGACTATCATCAGGATCACTGAACTTATCAGGTTTGAGATGCTGAATTAGCCTTAAGACAGTACCTTTCTCAATCACCACAGGGTCCATCAGCGAGCTGCCACCATCACAATGAATCGTTGGTTGTTCTTCATTACTGATAGAAAACACTTTACTGAAATATTCCGATAAAGCTTCAGCTCTTTCGGTATCATTTCTTGCCAAGATTAACGGGTATTCTTCTCTGAGTTCGCGTTTTTATATACGAGAATGACCGTTTCGGGCTATATCTAGAATCCCTAACCAATTGTTTTTCATATGATCTATTCTTACTTATTAACGCTTTACAGACATTCTTAATCTTATAATAACTGGATCTGTATTGTTCTTAGCCAGTAGAGATGAACATGGTGGACCGTTATTCGGTCTTCGCGGTACCAGGTATGCTATGAACGAGGACGTAACTAAACGAAACTTACCTTTAAATACAGACCTTGCTTCTTCAACTGATGAGCTAGTGTCTACCTGATATAATTCTCACTGATCGATCAAAAATATCCCTTCACTGTTTGATTTTTACCTATCTACACTTCATATAAACTGCTTAGTGTGCATCTAATTTCCTATAACACTTAAGTCATCAACGCAACTTGTTTTGTTTCATATCCTAAATCCAACGGGCCGAACCATACAGTACATCGATCCCCCTCAATGTTTCATGGAATTGTTATGCCTAAAATTAGGGTATTTTTGTCATGTGGACGCTAGTCAATGATTTCAGCCCCTATTCCGTTTATTTATTTTGAGAACAGAAACACACGCTGTAAACAATCTTCCGCCCTGGGATGTAACTATCGCAACGTAGTAAATCTAATCATAAACCTAGAGTTGCTTCTGTTCTATCTCATTTTAAGAAACGAGATATTTCTCACATAAAAAATTGGATAAGCAGACAGTTAATTTCTCTTCAGCAAATAACAAGTCATGCTTATTTTTCTATTGTAAAAGGTCAACTGATATAACAATATGAAAGCACTTATTTTAGTTGGGGGTTATGGCACTCGACTCCGGCCTTTAACACTAACTTATCCCAAACCGATAGTGGAATTCTGCAACAAACCCCTTTTACTACATCAAATTGAAGCCCTTGCCAAAGTAAGATTGTGTTTTATCATGGGTATAAGTTGGGAAATTTGTTTTCAAAATATGTGACTTGGTGACTTTGTCATTTTTGAAATTAATTTTTGTGAGTTTTTTATAACTATTACTGCTTAAACAATGAATTTGGCCCATAATGATAAATACTAAATTGAATGATTAGGAAGCCTGAGTTTATGCATCACTTAATTGTAGTCAATTCGGAACATATCACTTAAGCAGGAACTTATTCTCGATATTTTTGCATCGTACTTTACAATAATAATCAAATTTTTATTCAGAACATTCAAAGAATGATGGTTTCTGTAACACAGGAATGTAACAATAGTTGTAAAAGTTAGTGTCTGATATTACTTACTTACTTACTTACTTACTTACTTACTTACTTACTTACTAACGCCTGTTACTCCTCGTGAAAGAGTATAGGCCGCTCACCAGCATTCTCCATCCAACCCTGTCCTGCGCAATCCTTTTCATCTCCTTCCAGTTGTTATTCATCCTTTTCATATCTGCTTCCATTTCCCGACCTAATGTGTTCTTTGGCCTTCCTTCTTTCCGCTTCCCTTCAGGATTCAGAGTTAGGACTTGCTTCGTGATGCAGTTTGATAATTTGCGTAATGTATGTCCTATCCATTTCCATTGTTTTTTCCTAATTCCCTATTCAGCTGGAAGGTGGTTTGTTTTATCCCACAGAAGGCTGTTGCTGATGTTATCCGGCCAATGGATGTTGATTATCTTGCGTAGACAGCTATTTATAAATACTTGTACCTTCTTGATGGTGGTTGTTGTAGTTCTCCAAGTTTCAGCTCCATACAGTAGAACTGCCTTGACGTTGGTATTGAAGATTCTCACTTTGATATTGGTTGAAAGTTGTTTTGAGTTCCATATGTTCTTCAATTGTAGGAATGCGACCCTTGCTTAGCAAATCCTCGCCTTTACGTCTGCACCTGATCCTCCTTGTTCATCAATGATGCTTCCCAGGTATGTGAAGGATTCTACATCTTCCAGAGTTTCGCCATCAAGTGTGATTGGGTTGATCCTCTCCGTGTCGCATTTGAGGAACTTGGTTTTCCCCTTGTGTATGTTGATGCCTACTGGTGCTGAGACTGCTGCTACACTGACTGTCTTTATCTGCATTTGTTCATGTGTATGCGATAGGAGGGCTAGGTCATCTGCGAAGTCCAAATCGTCTAATTGATTCTGAGCTGTCCATTGTATTCCGTGTTTTCCCTCAGATGTCGAGGTCTTCATAATCCGATCGACCACCATAAGAAAGGGGAAGGGAGAGAGTAGACAGCGTTGTCTGACTCCGGTCCTTACTTGGAATGCATCTGTCAGCTGTCCTCCATGCACGACCTTGCACTGTAGTCCGTCGTATGAGTTCAGGATAATGTTGACAATCTTCTCAGGAACTCCGTAGTGTTGAAGACGTTTCCATAACGTTCTCCTATCCACACTGTCAAATGCCTTTTCATAATCAATGAAGTTGATGTACAGTGACGAGTTCCACTCAACTGATTGTTCGACGATGATCCGTAGTGTCGCGATTCGGTCTGTGCACGACCGATCTTTACGGAATCCAGCTTGTTGATCTGGAAGTCGGGCGTCTATCGTGTTTTTCATCCGGTTAAGCACCGCTCTGTTAAAGACTTTCCCTGGTATTAACAGTAGTGTAATGCCTCTGTAGTTTTCACGTTTACTTAAATCTCCTTTCTTTGGAATCTTGATGAGGTGTCCTTCTTTCCAGTCCATCGGCACTTCTCCCTCCTTTTAAATCTTTTTGAATAGAAGGTGAAGCATGTTTGTAGTTACTTCGATGTCTGACTTCAGTACTTCAGCTGGTATATTGTCGGGTCCTGCTGCTTTCCTGCTCTTGGTTTGTCTGATGGCCATTCTGATTTCTTCCGTCGTTAGTGGATTGACATCTATAAGACGATCCATGTGTGCTGCTTCGATGTCCGGTGGATTCATTGGAGCTGGACTATTCAGGAGTTCCTCGAAGTACTATACCCATCTGTTCCTCTGTTGCTGAATTTCAGTGGTTAGCCTGCCTTTTTTGTCTTTGACCGGTCTCTCTGGTTTACTATATTTCCCTACTAGTTTCTTCATTGTATCGTAAAGCTGTTTCACGTTTTCTCCTCTTGCAGCTTTTTCCGCCGTCGTTGCTAGTTCTTCCACGTATTTCTGCTTGTCGGCTCTAATGCTCTTCTTCAATTGCTTGTTTGCTTCTATGTACTCAGCTTGTGCTTGGAATTTCTCTGCTCGTGTTCGGCCGTTGTTAATTGCTGTCTTCTTGTTCTTCCTTTCTTTGATCCTGTCCAGTGTTCCTACAGAGATCCGTTTCTTAGGATGATGCTGTTGTGACTTTAAGTTGGGTCGATTTTTACCCTGTGCTAATTGTTGTGTCCTTGACTGAAAAACTAGAGAACAGCGTATTTATCGATCGATTCAATGACACGTGAACACATACGAACGTAATGGACGACCTAGAGTTACGATTGGTCCCGATTCCCTGTCTATCCCAGCCAGTTGAGTCCAGAACACAAGTCTCACCCTCTGAGTTATGAATCATTGTATTTCAGATATACTCTATTTATGTACTAACCAAACATACCACATCGTACCATAAAAATAGAAAACAACATTTTGTACCATATTCAACAAGTGGACAGATATCGACAAGTAGGAAATGTCCATTTAAAGTCCAAGGACACCATTGGACTTAACATGATAATTATTGGTCTATCCTTCGCATCCACAACAGATGCTTCTTGAGGCCCAGAACCTCTTGACACGTTGAGGTTAATGCTTCTTTGATACCTTCCCAGTTGTCCTCCATAGTAGTTTCTTCTTCCTTCAGTAGATCCTGTAAGGCTTGGAACCTGTTGTTGAGAGTTATCTTGAATTCATTGAGTTTGTCAGTATCTTGAATGAAGGCTGTATTGAACCTTTGTAGTGATGTTTGTCCAGTTATCCAGTTCTTCTTTAGCTTCAGTTTTAAATTGGCCACAACTAGGTGGTGATCTGAAGCTATGTCAACCCCTCTCCTGGTTCTCACATCTTCCATTGTCCTTCGGAACTTTTTATTGATGCAAATATGATCTATCTGGTTCTCTGGGGTATGGTTCGGTGAGATCCATGCAGCTTTGTGTATACGTTTGTGTGGAAATATTGTGTCGCCTATGACCAATTTGTTGAATGTGCATAGATTTGCAAGTCTCTCACCATTTTTGTTTCTCTCTCCCAGTACATGTCGTCCCATGATATCTTCATATCCGGTGTTGTCTATTCCGACTTTGGCGTTTAGATCTCACATCAGAATAGTGAGGTCCTTTCTTGGGCACTGCTCTATGATTGATTGCAGCCTCTCATAGAATCGATCTTTAATGTCGTCGTTGCTATCATTGGTGGGTGCATAACATTTTTTAACATTCCTTGTGATTTCCACCTTCTCTGTTTTGAATGATGCTTTGATGATTCTGGGTCCGTGAAATTTCCATCCTACAAGTGCATTTCGTGCTACTTTGGACAGCATTAGAGTAACTCCCTGAGTGTGTGGAGCATTTTCCTCTTCGTGGCTGGAGTATAGCAGCATCTCTCCCGTATTTAGCCTTTTTCGTCCAGCTTTGGTCCAATAGGTTTCGCTGATTCCAAGTACCGTCAAGTTGTATCTCCTCATTTCCGTTGCTGTTTGACTGGTCTTCCAGGTCTTCTACATTGTCCGAACGTTTCACATACCTATAAAAATTGTTGCTCTGGTTGTTATAACGGGCATCGGCTTCGTGGCTTCCGAAGGAACTCAGCTTTCACTATGTGGTGTCATAGTTCTTCTGAATGAAGACCTTATCATTCTCAGGGTAGTTTAAATGGTTTGAATTGTTTTTCATGGTTAGCGTTTTCCAGAGAGTTAGTTTTCTACGGGATTGTGTCGCTAACCCCATGCCCAACCCTCTTCCCGAACACGGGCTTGGGACGGGCAATAACTCTAGAGGAGCTAGAGACGGATTTCTGATATGAATTTTGATGAGCTAAATATTGCAGACCACAGCTTTTTATGTCAGTGATTCGGAATCCAGTAGTACACATTTCTAGCAAAAATCAGTTTGTGCAAATATCTTGACTTCGCACTACAATTTTCTTCTGAGTCGGTCACTGGTGAGCAGTTTTTCTGTTAGAATTGGGAAAGATTCTACTAAGTTGCCATATATCATTAGCACAACAAGATGAACACTGAATTCATAGAGGTAGTTAATTCAGTGGTGTTAATTTATAAAAGAAAGATTGCATATAAGGATATAGTACAAGAAGAAAGAATTATAATCAGAGAAGGGTTTTTGTGGGTATTATAGTAATTTTAATGGTTGAGATCATGGGTGAATTGAAGCGTACTGCTGAGGAGTCCCACAATAGGACGAAACGGCCATCCAGTGCTTCCAGGTTTTCCATAGTGGTCTAGCTTTAATTCACTCATGATCTCAACCATTGGAAGAAAGAATTAGTTCGTAGAAAGATATGAAGTGATTTTAATCTCACTGTTTAAGGGAAGACAAAGAGTGTATACACTGACGCCATGGTGATCGATTTTGAGCATAAGGTCATACCCGACTGGTAGTGTTAGAGCAGAGCCTTCACACGGTTTATGTACTTCTGGGGTAAGACTTTCAATGACGCTGCCACAAAACCCTTCAAGTCATGAAAAACTATCATTGTCGGACACCGATAAGCATGCCTGTGTTCTAAAATCAGACGGCTAGTGAATATGTGGTCGATGCAGCCACAACCAGGTCTGAAGCAAGCCTGATTTTCTCGTGTTTGCAATTCATGAGTCTTTGTTAGGCGTTCGATAATTGTTGAGGCTAGTATTTTAGATGCTATGTTAGTCAAACTAATCCATCTACATTAAAAAGAAGAATATATTTGTAAAATCTCAGAGAATGAATTTTTAAGTAAATCCAACGTTTCGCCTGGTTCAAGCTTTTTCAAGGAAAATATAATCAAACAACAAAATTATCCAATATAAATAGGTACAAGGTTCTTCGGTTTACTGTATACTGAATAAGTCATCCGATCAACGTGAAGGATTTTTATAAATAGGTATTTGTATTAATGTGTAAGAGACATGTTTATATGAAAATAATATGAAAAAATAATAAAGGTCAAACAAATAAAAGTTCATTTGAAAATAACCAAAGGAAGAGAAAGAATAAGAATTGTCGTGTTAACCTAGGCCATAGAATGACTTAAGGATTACAAAGTAAATTCAAGGTTATGACAACTTGTTTTTGTACACATAAGGACAAGGTATGTCAGAATGGGTTTTTGTGGAGAGTTTAAGAAATTTCACAAGTTGAAATCATGAGTCAGTTGAAGCTAGACCACCATTGAAAACCTGGAAGCACTGGGCGGCCGTTTCGTCCTGGTATGGGACCCCTCAGCAGTGCGCATCCACGATCACGCACCACACGGGGCTCGAACCCAGGACCTACTGGCTTCGCGCGCGAGCAATTAACCACTAGACCACTGAGCCGGCATCCAACGGTGTTAATGTCTAACTTCAACCAATCCACGAAGTTGCGCCACCGTACACCATTGTCTTCAGTGAGTTGTTATCTCACAACAGGCCGGTTGTGTTAAGACAACAGAATGTGTCTATACGCAAGTGATGTGAGAAAAAATTTCATCCAACTAAATATTGACTTTGGTCTGTGTATATTAAAAAAAACAGATCATTTTTTTTATATGAAATGAATCAAAAATGCCACAGCCTGCACTAAATGAAGATAAATAAGATAAGTAAACAAAATAAAAGAGGAATGTATATGTAATTGAAAGTGTGTGTTATTTTTAATGTTGGATTTACTTAAAAATTCATTCGCTGAGATTTTACAAATATATTCTTCTTTTTAATGTCTCACATTAACTCGGCGCCCAAATATTGTGAAACTATTCGTTCAAATTTAGACGAAAAGTTCTTATTTAATCCATCTACAGTTATCTCAGGACGATTTTGACCCTTTTTTATATATTGGGACAATCGGTGAGCGACCAGTCAGATGGGATTACATTCAGTTCACAGATTTTAGCTAAAATATTAGTCAAGCTAGTCGCTAAAACTGGACCACCATACTTAAATACCCCTGGAACCAACGCATCTGAACCAGCTGGTCTTCCTCGTTTCAGATTAGCTATGGCCTTTTAAATTACAGAGTCGGGAGGGGGGGCTACTTTAATATTGCATTCAGGCTGATTAGAAATGGTGGGTAGTTGTAAATTAGCTGAAGACCAGCTGAATCGCTCATCGTTCTAAACGGCTGGGCTGAGAGCAGATAAGATTGTCGTCTTTTTCCAAGATCGTTTCACTTACACTTGACTTCTTAGTTCCGATCTCTTTTATTAGTCTGGAAAGCTGTCTTGGGTTACCTACAGCCGCTGCCTTTTCCATCTCTTTTGTCTTCGTTGCCCACCACTGCTCATGGTCGTTCCTTAGACTTTTGGTTAACCTAGATTTGATTCGCATTCGCTCTTTATCGTATTCAGAGCCAGATGGGGTGAGTTTACGAGGATCTATCAGTGCAATAGACTTAGTAGAAATCCTCTGATTTTTCTTGACCCTTTGGTCCAAACCATCAGTAGATATCACTGCTGTTCGCATTTCTTTCCAAGCAACGTCTAGATCAGCCTCGTTTTCAGAACTGCTTAAGTGTGACCTCAGTTGTTCCTGGAATCGACTTTCTCATCACTCAGTTCAATTCTAGTGGGTCTTAATATGGCTTTTCTACATCCAGTGAGGCGCAAGCAAATGCGTGCTCGTATTAGAGCATGATCGAAGTCTAAACATGTACTCCAGAACGAGCGACAGTCTTCTATCGACCCTCTCCAACTATGACTGATAGGAATATGGTCTATTTGAGTCCATCGTTGGTTTGGTGCAGCGAGTCTCTATGTTATACAATGTCTATCCTTATGCTTAAAATTAGTGTCTGCTAAAAATAAACGATTATCTGAGCACAGTTGGAGCAGACAGTTACCATTATCCGTTCGCTGAGCCGGAATACTAAAATAACCGCCTAAATGTCTTTATGCTTGGTTTAAGCTACCTACTTGGACCTTAAAGTCACCTGCTACGAGTACTATGTCTGAACGTTTAGCTTCTTGAAAGGTTCGAAAAGCTTTCTTTAAAAGTTATCTTCCACTTCATTCCGGCTGCAATCAATGGGAGCGTAGGCAGAGACGATGAAAAGGTAACGACGTGTGTCTCTATCCTTCTGAGTTCTTACGGAGCCGTTTAGCCGAACAGCACATGGACGACTGTTAACGGGAATCCATTCTAATAGTGCTCGTTCACGAGAACTAGCCATCGGGTCGTATCTCATCGACTCTCCGTTTTGGCGAGGTGAGGTCAAGTGAATGACCACACTAAGTTCCTGTATGCGTGTTTCGGAGACACAGCATACAGCAATCGTACGAGATTCTAGGTTTTTAGTCAAGGAGGCCTGCTGGCCGATTTGACACAGGGTGAGTACGTTGAATGCTCCAATATATAGTTTCGAGTGCGGTTTCGGTAGATTCTGGAAATTATTTTGCTCGTTAGAATCGTTGGCCATGATGACACTTGAGGAAGTTGAAAGTCGAGGTAGGGGTAATAATAGAAATTGACCGAGGAAGTCGATTGTGAATACAGTTGTCTTGAGTGTTGTTAAATATATGAGGATGATTATTACATCAAAGGGTTCCTATAGGAGTACCTGAAAAGGAAATAGGGTTAGAGGTAGTCTTAGTGACCCGAGGGCGTGACCGCAGTGCCCAAGGGACAACTGATTTAGTCTGATCACCCACGATTTTTTTCTGAGTATTTTTCTTGTTAGCTCCGTACTTTTTGCGACCCTACCACCGGAGACTGAAATCCATGGGATAAGGCGAGGTGTATATCTTTAGGTTCAACCTTTTCTAACCCCAACGTTCCTTATGGGGAGACGGGATCGCTGTTGTGCCGTCTTTCTAGAGGAAATACCTTACTACTGTCACACCCCTGCTGCTTTTAGTTTTACCGCTCTTCAACCAAACTATCTGGCATTGTAGGACCTTGAGGAACGATTGTTCCAACCAGTATAGCTTGATTGGTTCACTACGATAAGCAAGCCCGACCAACACGTCGAGGTAGCAGCGACGGTCGGGACTAATTTATAAGAAATATACGAACACCTCATGAGAATTGTCGATGTATTCTTATGTTAGACAGTTTCAGCAACTGAAATTTATCTACTTTCCAAAAAGAAATTGTGTAAGCGTCGATTGTTGCTTGAAGCTGAATTCTTGATTTTGAGGATTATCTTTATTGTTGGCTTTTCTATATTCTCCCCCGAGTTTATGGATCAATAACTGGCAGCGTTGAGGTACATGAGTATGTTTTTTCCAATCTGGAACTATGTACAGTAGACTAAATGTAATTATAACTTATGAGCCATAAAGTTATGCACAGTACTTAAAAATATAGATTTTCAGGGGCAAGTTAATGTTCGTTCATTCAGCTACTATCCAAGCATCGGCGATCGCTTTTTATGTCTTGAAGTCATTTTCGTGGTGTCTAATTATTTAACTGAATTTTATCTTATGGTAAATTAAAGTTAAGCAGATACTTCTTGTATAAGTATGTAACCTAGTCGAATACATTAAACTTGGTGATCAATTTGTCGCTCTCCTTATAGTTTGATAGTAATCAGTTGTGACAAATGGACCAACTCATCTTTATTTTTCGTTTCCATTTGCCTGTCTCCCTGGCATGCAGGCTAAGTAATCGTTCTTAAGAAATAGTTATTATATAACACTAAGTGATAGAACTCTGGAATATGAATTCACGTCTCCATTTACCTACAGATAGTTGATTCGGTTCATCAGCTAGTTCATACTTTAAAAGAATATCTCTTATGAAATATAAGATTAGTTTTCCCCACCAAAATACAGCGATACTAGACCCATTCCATGTTTATCGTATGTATGAAGTTGTTTTGTGTATTAGTACTTCATATGTTCATTGATATCGTTTATTAATATATTTGTACCCCGTTGTAAGTCTCCTTTTCCTAATTTTCTGTAGGTTGGAGTATCAGAGGTGATCTTAGCTGTTAGCAAATGTGCTGATCGAAGTGATATTTTAGAAAAAGAGTTAAAAAAGCATGAGAAGAAAGTAAGATAATTTATCATAAATTTTTGATAGTGAGCTATGACAATAGTATTTCTGTTAGATCGACTTTATTACGCATTATACAAATAACTAGTTTATTGGTTTAATTCAGATGGTAATGTACTGTGTAATATTAAGGTTATTCTCACATACTTCTTACTGGTTGAAATAGCTACTGACGAATATATCTGATGAAAGTATATGACTCATGCAAGATTGTGACTGAAGTTTTGATTTCGCCGTATTGTATGAAGGTTGTACTCCAAAATCCATGTAAACCATACTGTAAACCTACGACCCAATGTTTAAAATAAAAAAATATATAATACAATTAATGTATCTTAATAATCAAGGATAGGTTTATTTGTTTAGATTTGGGTCACATTTTTCATATGAGAGAGCTAGTATGGTACTGCTCGATTGGCCAGACTAAAGTGGTAAATCAAGGTTTGATATGCAAACCTAGCAATACTACTATAAGTTAACTCAAATCAGGTTATGATATAAAACATCTTCAACTTATGTATACTTAAAATGTCACAGATCCATTTTACATTTTTAACGAATGAGTTTGTTACATTGTGTACAGTTGGTTACAGTTTTCAGTCTTAAGTCAATACAAGTATTATTATTATTACTAGTGTATTTTTTTGTCCCATGACTCTAGATTGGAACTAAAATTACATTCTCCTATGAAACTGAAGCAATGGGAACTGGTAAGTCTCACTTCATTAACCTGAAATTCCTCAACCTTAAATTGAATACCTTTCTGTGAATATTTACACGATTCCATAGTTCTTTTGCACATTTAATCTTAACACTAAACATTGTTAATGTTAATTGTTATTGGCGTTGATCTAAATGCCTTAAGTAGTTTAACTAGGAATTTGAATCACTCTGCTTGGTGACCTGATTATAATGTAGAGATAGGTACCAAAAAATTCTCATTTCACCAATTTCGTTTAACGTCAGCTAATGGTATACGCAATTATTTACTTTTTATTTTGCTAATGTTATGAGTAATCAAACCAAATATTTCTTGACTACTTGTTTGACCTTGACGTTGCTAAGCTTAAATTGTTACACAGGCAAGCGTTTTAAAGATAATCATCAATGTTTATCTAATGGACAGAAATTCTGTTAAATATTTCAAGAGCTCTTTGCTATTTTCTCCAATTTCTCTATACTAAACATTGAACGCATTTTGTGTGCAAAAGATGCATATGCTTGTTTGACTTTTTAGGGAAGATCCGAAGTCAAGCTTATGCTTTGTGTTCTTAGACCTGGAGTCAGCATTTGGCTGAATAATGGTTTCAGTTGGCGACAGATAAGTTTTGTGATATTTTTTTGCTCAAATGTGGCACCATAATATACCGGGACGTGGTTAAATAATGGAATTTCTTCTCTGAAAGAGCCTAGTAACTACATACGCGAAGTTTCTAAACACGATGTAAGAGAATAATATAGACAGTAAAATAACCGATTAGTCACGCGTTAGTCGTCTATACAGGTTTCTGGAATGCAGTATACATCAATGAATCAGAATAAAACTAGAGGCATAATTAATAATATCCGTTGTTCAATAAGATATGGGATTTAAAAGGTTAGGCCGCTGGTAGTATAGTTTCAGTAAACCATACGCCTAATAATTTTTTTATCGATAAGTGAGTAGAGTCTTCTTATTCACATGCCTAATACCGATTTGTAAGGGTTTCTATGATCACATTGTCGCTATACAGGATTGAATTCTGTTCACTTTTGTTGGTTGTTGTCCAGTATAAGTACAAAATCCGACACTGGGATACAGATATCAAGTGAGTCGCAAATAAACTAAAATTTATGCGTCATGGATCCCATCATTAACCACATTTAAAATGCGCTAAAACATTTGTAATATATTTACTGCTTTTCAGCTGGTCCAATCGCCTTAGCGAAAGATATGCTCCTCGTGGACGATAGTCCGTTTTTTGTGCTCAACAGTGATATCATGTGTGATTTCCCGTTCAAGGCAATCATAGCATTTCATAAAAATCATGGAAAATCGGGAACGATTTTGGTTAGTTTACTGAATAAATTCTCCCTCATGTAAATGCATTCGCTACTTTATTTTCTAAACAAATGAATATTTCTCGGTGCTGAGTTTTTCAAATAGTTGCTTAGATTTCGTAACATATATCTAGTTTAAAATCAAGGGCGTAATACTGAAACTCAATTCAACAGTCTGTTATGGGGTAGAGCTATATAATTTGACACGTGAATCCTCGATTGTTAAAATAAAAATAATGGTCGATAGATAAAATGTAATAACATGATGTGGCCGAGTGATCGACGCTCGCAAAATCTAATTATTAATGTAAGCACACAGTGGAGTTCATATCCAAAGGTAAGGGAGCTTCCTAGTAGAATAGGGTTTTCTTCCAACAAAATAACTTTGTTGCATCATAAAATACTGAACACAATAATAAACATGATTAGAAGTGATTTAACAAATAAGGCAACCATAAGTCATTTACTCTCAAATAGAATTAATGCTTGACTGTCAGAACTAATTCTTCCCCTGTCATATCACAGGAATCAAGAAGTTAATTGTGAACAGGAACATTTGAGTAATAGTGCTATGTATATCCTGACATGTACGCTGTAGGGCATACTTAGTATTTTAGCTTTCAAGTATTCCTTGTGCACTATATTTTGCTCTGTAAGTTTCATCAGAAAATACGTGTATATATTTTTTGTCTTATAAGTAGTTTATTTAATTTATGTACAATTGACAGTGTCATAATACAATAACAATGCTTCCAATCTATAAAAATGGTATGGTATTGTTTTTTTTTGCGGATCTTTTTGGTTATGTGTTTAAATTAAAACGAATATAAAATCAATATATTCGCTAAAAATTAGTAAATAGCCTATGGACACTTTATTCTAATAGAAGAATATGACATTTCTTACAATATAGGTGTTATAACTTGTGGCCTATGTGCCCTATTAATGTATAACGTATACCTCCAATATGAGAACAGTAAATTATCAACCGGATCAATGATGCATAAAACAAGGATGAGCAGTCTAGAGTCTTTATCAGTCCTGCTTCCTTCCTAACCCCACCTTTCAAGCACAGAACACCAATCTCAGCCTCTGCGATACGAATCATTTATTTCAAACATACTGGGCTTATATACAAACTAAACAGACCATATTGTACCGTAAAACAAGGAACAACGTTTACACAAGATTTAGCCAAAAGTGGCTGTGAATATGGGAGGTAGTGATTGATAGACTGGGCACAACTCAAGAATAATAAGTCGTATAATTATAGTTTATAGGTCAAAATAAAGCTCATAATAAGAGGGACACGAATATGAATAGTTTAGTTACTTAACAATTATACGATAGAAATATGCGTATAGCATTTGTCCATAAATGGGTCCCAAAAGTTACCATTCATTATTCTCATCGAGATATAACAATAAGGTATTGTTGTTTTTTAATAATAATGTAAATAAACGAAGAATTTTCTTTTTTCAATAAATTTCTCATCACGTTGTACAGTTATACATAAAAATTAATCATTCGAGTTTTTATTTATTTATTTAAACACATACATAGTACAATGAAGCACCAAATATGTATGCCCCACGTTTCATTATTCGATTCGTGTGAGAACTGGGATACTGCCCGGTTGCCTGAACCGAAGCAGGTGGTTTCCTTAGTGGGCCACTACCTGAGTCTTTAATCTAGGGGTCTAGTCCACAAAGCAGTGGAGCAACGTTGAAAAATACAGTCCCATGGAAGCCGGTGACCAACAAAAGGATCATACGCCATTTTTCCCTTCGGATCCTGGAGCCCATATGCACCGTTAGTCCGGAATGAGGGTTTCCCAACTCCCTCAGGTGGATCATCTATATCCACCAATCCGGTTAAAGCACGGAAATTCGCTTTTCGTTTTCTCAATTTCGTAAACAATAGTAATACCGCGAGAATGCGTATACATGTGGCTATGTGAGAGCGCTTCGAGAGGGAGAGCTGACTCTCCCCACTCATGGCCACGGCAGGGTATTTAGGGGCCATCTTTTGAAACAATGATCAAGTTGAAAGCAAATACATTGTTTACTAGTGTAGCATATAAATTCAGGTTTATCTGTTACTTACTTACGCCTGTTACTCCTCGTGAAAGAGCATAGGCCACTCACCAGCATTTTCCATCCAACCCTGTCCTGGGCAATCCTTTCCATCTCCTTCCAGTTGTTATTCATCCTTTTCATATCTGCTTCCATTTCCCGACCTAATGTATTCTTTGGCCTTCCTTTTTTCCGCTTCCCTTCAGGATTCAGAGTTGGGACTTGCTTCGTGATGCAGTTTGATGATTTGCGTAATGTATGTCCTATCCAATTCCATTGTTTTTTCCTAATTCCCTATTCAGCTGGAAGGTGGTTTGTTTTATCCCACAGAAGGCTGTTGAGGTTTATCTGTAAATTACTAATATTCAATGTTAACTTGATTAAGTTTACATGCTAAGTGAAATTTTGTGAATAACAATCGAATCAAATGTTTGATGAAAGGAATATGTGTTGCATGTGATGTGAATTTAGCAAGTAGGAAGAGTGGTAACTAAGTTCCTCATGTATTAGGAAGATTAATATAAATTATGATGATAATAAGAGCAATAAAAATATGTGGATAATAGTCACAATAATATAGTGGGCATTTTTGAACATTTAGACTAATGTGTATATTAAAACTGTACTCGTTTTGTAATCAACTGGATTAAGTACAGACTATAATTATAACCTTCTTGTCGTGGACTGTAAGTGAAAAAATTCTATTGGTAATCATAACCTAATTTACTAGCGATATTCAGACAAATTCTGAGTTTTCAAAAAAGGTTATGGGTCATATCTCTCAAATCCCCTTCAAATCTCGAGTTTGGAATACTGATTTAATGTAACTGTTGGAATATGGATTGTTAGTAGGTAAATACATACTACATGAATTGTATCTGTACAGAAATCAGGATCAGGGTTTGGAGACGTTAAGTAATTTGCCTGAGAGTCGATCGTAATGGCACAAATTCATTCACTCTTTTTCTTACACTCGATTTTGATTTTCAGCCTTTCTCCATAGATATTTTCTATCTTTTTCATCTTTTCAAACAATCTTCAGTTTATAGGTATCATTGCCAAGGTTGGACTTGATAGTTTCAAATAAATTGAGCATTAGGTAGGAAGTTAATAACAAATATGTTTTTTTATATCGTAATTAGTTGAAAAATTGTATTTCTGACGTTTCGTGACTTAGTGTAAGCCACTTCTTCATATTAAATACACAACCGATTTGAATTAACACATGTTTAATTCGGTTATTTATGTCAGAAATACAATTTTTCTACTCATTGGGATATAACAAAAATATATTTATAATTAATCTTCAATATTCTGTCTTTGTCGTCATCACTGTCATTACATTATTTCTATTCCTTTGTTATTCTTCGTGTTAATTTCATCTCGTTGTGCTAATGTGTTATGGTATCATATGATTCTACTATTACACCATGTTTAACTTGTATGATAAAACTTTATTTATACTTACACAATCAGTTTATTCCAATTTATGTGACTTAATGTTTTAAGGATTAACTGTGTACGTTAACCATTCACATGGATATAATACCTTATTTTAGATGCATCGTGACTAATTGAAAATTATGGAAATGTTATAGAATATTTCATTCAGTTCAGGCATAATTAAATTTGAAGTCTGGGGAAGTTAAGGTAACTTACTTGTAAAGTACAGGTTTATTTACTCAAACCTTGTAGTTACATTGATGTACAATGTGTAGCGGTGACTTAGTTTGTGAATCAATAATCCATTGATTTAGTGGGTTACTAGGTCGTACTTATTTAAATTTAATTTGGTTGAAGTAATCGGGTATAATAACTGTCCCTCACTCGTAAAATGTGGTTCAAAGTCGAGTATATAACCATGTATTCTGTAGATATATATTTCATTAAAGGATTAAATGACGATCTATTATTTATTGTTATTGCTGACCCCATTAATGATGCTTTATAAAGTTTTCTTTCGCGCATTGACTTCTGAAAAATGGTGTATTTATGTTGGACATATACATACTGTAAAGTTTCTGTGATTTATCCAACGATTTAGAGTTTCCTACTTTTTTTGGTTTCAACTAGGTGACACAAGTTGAGGAACCTTCAAAATATGGCGTTGTTGTTTACGATCAAACAACTGGACGTGTGGATCGTTTTGTTGAAAAACCAATTGAATTTGTTGGTAATAAGATAAATGCCGGTATATACTTACTTAATCCTAGTGTTATTGACAAGATCCCTGTAAGAAATTTTGCTGTATAATTAATACTCACTATTACCTTAAATTTCGTTTTTTTTTTCATGTATATATCATTCATTGGTAAGAAAAATATGTTAGTTTATCGATCCAGTTTAGATTCAATCATTTCCATAGTCATTGTTATTATTATTGAAATATTTAAACCCGTACTTCAGAGGGATAACCCAGTGGTTAAGGTGTTCAACTTCGAGTCACTAAGTTGGGTTGGAGCTTCCCTCTGACAACTTAAGTTCGGACAACTGTTTATTATTACTGGTCCTTACACTTGAAGTGGGACCTGAAGTCAACCAACCAAATATGTATCGGGTATTGTGTTAATATTAGCAAAAATATATCAGTTTAGTGTTCAGTAGACTAAGATAGAATTGCTAATCGACAATTATTTATATCTGCTTTCATATAACTAAGGTACCTACGACTGTTTGCCTTTATGACATAAAATACAAAATGAAATTGCTTTATCCCACTCTGCCAAAAATACGATTCGGTAAAAAGGAACAATTTCAGGTTATTCAGTAAATGCATTCGTTGATGTACTCTATAATTAAATAATGAATGGCATTACTCGGGAATTTCGGAACGTGTAGATTAGTAATGCTGAGATTATGGTCCGAGTTTTAAGGGCAATAGTTATTTGGTTGATGAAGGTGATAAGCCTGCATAAACTGAAGTGGTTGGAACATATATCTAGTTACCACTTGTCCTGACGCGTTATGCTCTCACAAAATGAGTGTAAGTTGATTAGAAGCTAGGAGTGAAAATGCCAGGGAAAAACTGTCAATATATAAGGTAACTGATTATTGGGTTGTTCTATGTCCTTAATAGCAAACCTCTTGTTTGCAGCCCGTGCAATAGCTGTAGTCAATTGTTGAAGATATTGGATAATTGTATCTCTCATGCTTAAATCTCCACTACAATTGATATTTCCTCCTTCCCTCCTTGTCCTACTGATTTCCTCATACTGTTGAAACCTGGATCGATACACGTTTGTGCTGGTTTTTAAGTTGCATATCACTGGTCGACAGCAGTGAACATATGTTGTGAAGTACATAGGCACTCAAACTCTAGTTTTTTTATCGAACATTGTTTACCTAACTGTGCTAGTTACTTGCTCAGTGCAAAGTGTAAACACTTTGTTTTTATGGTGTAATTTAACTCGAATACTGATAAGCTGTTCTTGTTTATATTTGTTCAGCTACGCCCAACTTCCATTGAGAAAGAGATATTCCCAGAGATGGCAAATGAGAAACAACTTTATTGCATGACATTACCAGGTGAATTTCTGTCTAAAATTAATATTTACTTAATACAATTTGTATTCGAGTGTGAATTTTTGTTATTCTCGATAACCCGTGATATATTGATTTAAGTTTGCAATCCTTATTCCATAAAATCATCAGCGTAACTACTCATTTCACTGATTAAATTAATTTGAGCATCAACGTGGTATCTCTGATTCTCATTTAAAATAACTGTAACTTACAGTTTCTCCCCCTCTAATTAAAAATTGTTACTTCAGGACTGGCCTACGTTAACACCTGAACTAAGGATAGGGAGTGAAGTAGTCGAGCGCGTAGACAATTTCACCTAACTTGGGAGTCTGATCAACCCTAATGGGTTGATGTCTGACGAAATCTCTACATGGATTCAAAAAGCTCGTTCGGCTTTCGTCAATTTACATCACTTATGGCTAATCATTTATTTATTTATTTGAACACATTTATATTGGTACAGGAGTGCGCCAATTATATATGCGCCACACAAAACAATGAGAATTTAAGAAGAAGAAAAAAACAATGAGGAACGTAAAAAAAATAAAAATCAATAATGAAGAAATTGGTGTAAGGGAATGTAGTAATAATCATAGTCATAATGGGGGAACGGAAGGTACAATCAGAACAAATCTTTCAGTTAAGGAAGAAACAACCACTTTTATGAAGAAAGTAAAAGAAGGTTACAGCAGGATTGCCACTGGCTTCTATTCTGAGCCATATCTGATAACGTCTCTAGCCACTGTGTAGCACCATCTCTCGGACCCCAACCAGGGAGTCGTGAAGGACCTACACAAGCCAGTCCTTTGCAGCTTTCTTTCATACCACGACACCATGTCATATACTGACCACCTCCGCTTTTTCCAACCAGTCCCAGAGTCGGCAAATAATGCACGACGTGGAATTCTCTGGGACGACATTCGGAGAACATGTCCAAGTGACCGAAGTCGGTGTTTCAAGATGGTGACACCAATTGAATTATCATCTCTGTGCCCGAACACACGATGCCGAACCTCTGCATTAATAACATGGTGTTGCCACTGGATGTCAGCAATCCTTCGGAGACAACGATGACCGAACACAGAGAGTCGTCTTATGTCCTCAACTCGGAGAGGCCAGGTTTCACAAGCATAGAGCAGCCAGACTGACATCACGAAGGCGCCAAATATGGCCCAGATTGGCATAAGCCGCTCTGGCTTTGACTATACGTGCATTGATCTCATCACTCACACCCCCACCAGCACTTATGCAGCTACCCAGATACACGAACTTCTCGACTACGTCTATCTGCTCACCATCCAGGGTGAGTACAGGGTTAGAATCCTGCCAGTCTTGTAGAAGTACTTTGCACTTCGAGGGTGCAAAGCACATACCATACCTACAGACACTGAATGCCAACTGATTAAGCGCGAATTGCATGTCTTGGGAATTATTGCACAGTAAGACAATATCGTCCGCATACTCAAGGTCGAGAATTCTTTCTGCGGGCAACAGATCCACACCACCATTACTTACATCCATCAGAGCTGTTTCCAGAATGTCGTCGATGGCAAAGTTGAAGAGGAGTGGTGATATTGGGCAACCCTGTCTAACCCCACTGCTCGGATGGAACAATGGAGAGAGGTGCTTGTATGCCCTCACTCTACTTGAGGTGTTTGTATATAGGGCTTTTAGGATGTTAATAAACTTCTCAGGCACACCCTTCTTCAATAGACAATCCCAGAGAACAGTCCTGTCCAACGAATCGAAGGCAGCCCTGATGTCAAGAAACAGTACGATTGTTGGCCTTTGATAAGTATGGCGATGTTCTAACATTTGGCGGAGGGTGAAGATATGATCAATACATCCTCGACCAGAACGAAACCCAGCCTGCACCTCGCGAGTCAATCTTTCTCGGGTTTTGAACAACCTACGAAGTATGACGGAAGCCAATAGCTTGGACGCAATCGGAAGTAGACTTATCCCCCGACAGTTGTTACAGGAACAACGTGAACCCTTTTTAAAGATAGGGACAACTATCGACTCATTCCATGACGTTGGTACACTCTCTAGCTCCCAGACTTTTGTAAACAACGTCGTCAGTTCCTTAGTCAAAAAGTCACCACCATCTTTAAAAAGAGCCGGAGGTAAGCCATCTGGGCCAGGTGATTTGTAACGCTTCAAGATTTGGAGTTCCTTGCGGACTTCCTCCTCATTTGGTGAATCAGTGGTCACCGGCCATGGGGGGCAGGACAGTCTGACCGATGTTGCCGGAGCAGCAGGCCAGTTGAACTGACCTTCGAAAAATTCTGCCCATCGTCCAAGACGTCGATGGATGTCAGTGATTGGCATCCCGTCATCACAGATTGTTTCGTTCACACCAGACTTCTTGCTGCCAGTGGCTCGGATGAGCTGGAAGAGCTTCCGGTAGTTACCAGATGCAGCTGCCACTTCCAGCTCATTACCACGCTCCGACCACCAGGCTTCTCGGTTTTTACGCAAGCTTTGCCCAATTTCGTTACGTAACAACCTTCGTTTGTGGTCAAACTCACGGTCACCCAGAGTAGACCGAAGGGCTTCAATGAGTTGTAAGGAGCCTGAAGAAACCCAGTGCTTATAAGCGGGACGTTTCGCGAACACACAACTGACTGTACCCGCCATTTTCATGGCGTCATGCAACTGCAGCCAATGCTCATCTATACTTTTCAGTGGAATGGTAGCTAGCCTAGAGGCTAGCGTGGTTCGATACTTACTTGCAACAGAAGTTGCAACCAACTTTCTAACATCAGTCCGTTGATGGCGGTCACTTCGTTGGCCACTGAAAAGTAAGGTAAGATTGACGCAGACCATAGCATGGTCAGAGTCCAGATAGGTACTCCAAGAGGAGCGGCAGTTTTGTACACAACCACGCCAGCGGTAGCTGATCGCGATGTGATCGATCTGAGTCCAGGCTTGAGATGCAGAGGGAGGACTCCAGGTGGCACATCGGCGATGACTGTGCTGAAAGTTAGTGCTAGCCAGAAACAGGTTGTGGTTTGTGCATAGTTGCAGTAGACGGTCCTCGTTATCTGTCCTGCGACCAACAAGACCCCATCGGCCACCTAAACGACTCTCTTCTGTGCCTAGACGCCCAACCTGAGCATTCAAGTCTCCGGCTAGTACTACAATATCTGTCGAACGCACTTTCTGGAGAAGAACAGATAACTGGTGGTAAAACTCATCCTTGATTGCATCCGGGCTGCAATCTGTCGGAGTATAGGCCAAGATGACGAAAAGACATCGTTTCTCATGCCGATTTCTTCTCACTTTGATGGAACTTTCTAATCTAACAGCACATAGTCGACTGTTAATGGGGATCCAATCGATTAGTGCTGCCTCAGCTCTAGCGCTTAGTGCGACACCAACGCCAGCAAGACCAGACGATGATGCCACAGGGTCCCCGGATAAGCGCACGTAAAACAAGCTTTTCGAAGCGACTGATGGAGATCGAATTTGTAGTACTTCGCCAGAGTCTTGAATACGGGTCTCGGATAGACAACAAACATCAATATTAAGACTTTCCAAAGACATAGCCAGCCCTATCTGTTGTCCGACCTGCATAAGTGTGCGAACGTTGAAGGCAGCTAGTTCGAATGGTGCACGTGGTTTCAGAAAAACTGCTTCAGTATTCGTATTTGGTGGTAGAATTCAATTTTCAACCGGACAGTGACTCGAGAATCGAGTTTCTACCATAGGCGAGGTGCTGTCGAAGTCGAAAAATGTGGATACATAAAGTGGGAATAAAAGAGAATGAATGAATGACATAGTAAGTAATAGTAATAATAAAATGAGTCGTTTGACTGTTGTTCGACGGAAGACAAGTATTTTCCATAAATATCGTCATTTCATTTGATTTGTGTGTGGGCTGTGCTACTACCCGCGTGCCCAGACGGAAGCAAGTGGTTTTCTTAGGGGTCCACACCCCGAGACTTTGACCTAAATTGTTATGACCTTGGATGTCTGATTTTTCTATCACACAATTTATATACCAATCCGAATACGAATTATACGAATCTTCACACTAGGCCAACCAATGACGTTCAACCGGTGTTGGCAGTTTAGCGTCCTTATTGGTCCTATGTCCTCTGAGCCCTTCCACTTGAGTCCAGAACACAATACCAGCTTCGAATCAGAGCAGATCGTTTATTTCAGACATACTCGGTTTATATATCAACCAGACAGACCACAACGTACCATAAAATGGAAAATAACATGTACACAAATAAGCCAAAAAGTGGCTGTGAACGAGGGGGACAGTAATTAATAGACTGAGCATAGCTTAAGAACCGTAAATCGTACAATAATAAATTATGGGTCAAAATAAAGCTTACAATAAGAGGAATATAAATATACATAATCTAATTATTCAATAGTTTTACAATAAGAATATTTATAGAATGTTAGTCCATTAGTAGTCCTCGGGAGTTACCTGTAATTTAATCTTCACTGGGTTATAACGTAAATGTCTGACCTTTGGTGGTAGAATTCAATTTTCAACCGGACAGTGACTCGAGAACGTTTAGATAGAGTCGAATTTCCACCAAAGACGAGCTGCATATAAACCGAAAAATAAGTATAGACGGAGTAGGAATAAAAGAGGGTGAATAATGATGTAGTAAATAATAATAATAATAATAATAATAATAATAATAATAATAATAATAATAATAATAATAATAATAATAATAATAATAATAATAATAATAATAATGATAATGATAATAATAATAATAATAATAACAATAATAATAATAATAATAATAGTAATAATAATAATAATAATAATTTGAATCATTTGAATGTTTTTCGAGGCAAGAGAATTAGTTTCCATGATCACAGACAGTTCAGTTCATTAATTGTGTGTGGGCTGTGATACTGTCCGGGTGCCCAAACCGAAGCAGGTGGTTTTCTTAGGGGGCCACACTCCGAGCCTTTAAACTAAGGGTCTAACCCACCAGGTAATGGAGCATCGCAAGGAGATGCAGTCCCATGGTAGGCGGTGACCGAAAACTGGTTCATACGCCATTTGTTCCCGCAGGATACTGGAGCCCATGTGCACCATTGATCTGGAATCCGGTTAAAGCGCTTTTCGTCCTCTCATTTTCGTAAACAACACCCCCGCCACGAGAAGGCAGTGAGTAGGACTTCTCTGGCAGAGGCTGTATACGCGTGGCCGTGTGAGAGTATTTCAAGAGGGAGGGCGAACCCACCCCTCTCTCGGCCATACTAGGGCATTTGGGTGCACTTATGGCAAAGGCGAGATATCCATCTGTCAATAAAAGAACTAGTTTACTGCTCGACAGTTCGTTCTGTTCTTCTTTACGGCTGCGGAACGTGGCCATTAAGGGTAGAGGATACTCGTACGTTACTAGTATTCAGTCATAGATGCCTTAGGAATGTTGCCCTCATCTTCTGGGATCACCGAGTAAATAATATTGAGGTTAGACACAAGGTATTAGGGAATGATGGTAAGTAGAGGCTTGGACTAAAAGCCTTTGAGGAAGTAAAAGTTGACAAGGAAGAATATTATTAATCCAACAGTCTGTTTCTATTTCCCTTTAGGAATTCACTTTAAGGAAGGGAACTCCTGGTCGTTGTAAATTGCTGGAGGTGGAATGTGATCGTTAATAGGCAGAACACGGCCGAAACCACGACCTCGCCCATCAGCTGATGAGGTTGGGAATCTTCATCGACTGAGATGGTTGGGCCACGTGTTACGTATGCCTGAACACCGATTACCACGACGTGCAATGCTAACCGGTGTTGGAGATGGTTGGAAGAAAGTTATGGGCGGTCAAACCAAAACATGGGATCAGTGCTTGAAGTTACTAACTTCTAGTTTGAGCCATGTTGGGAGATGCAGACTACTTGTTTGGGGTCCGTGTGACTATTGTAACCGATGGTTGGAGACTCTTGGTCACATGGCTCAGAATCGATCACAATGGCGTCGGTGCATGCACTCCCTGTCTTCCCTTAAACTAAGAGATTAAAATCGCTTCATATCTTTCTACGAACTAACTCTTTCTTCCTGTACTATAACCTTATTGCAATCTTTTTTTTAATATATTACCACATCTGAATTAACTACTTTTATGAATCCGGTGTCCATCTTGTTGTGTTAATGAGGTATGGCAACTTGGACCGATGCATATATGTGCTTGGTCCTACGTTGTAGATGACTGACCGACTGATTTTTGAAAATCTTCAAGTATATTGAATCACACTAGTACCAAATTTTTTTACAGAAGCTTAATGTGTACAAATTATCCTAATTAGTGATAGGAATCCAGTTCAGAAGATTATCCAGTCATGTTGATGATTATACTCAGTGTTCTACATTAATTCTTCTATAATTTAATATCCTTATATCACACTATAGTTATTCTTTGTCGGAAAAATTATAGTTAGAAATAATAGGCTTAGACTGTAAATTGATAATTAAGTAGTCATTGACAAATGGTCTGAGTCATGTCGGTAGGTGTAGACTACCTGGTTGGGGACCGCGAGATGATAGCAACCGATGGTTAGAGACTCTGAATGACATGGCTCGAAATCGTTTGCAATTGTGAAGGTGCATCCACTCTTTGTGTTCTCCCAAATTTTGATCTCCTTATTCCTCCTTGTCTCTTTTTTTTCTCTTCCCAAATTTATTTCACTGTATTATACTCTTTAAATAACATCTCCAAACACTAATCTTCCCGATTACTGCTTATACTCTTATTACCTCTACCACTACGGGATTTGAATTGACCACTGCATCTCTGTGCTAATGTGGTGTGGCAACTCGAACTAATATACGTACGTACGAAGTTCTACGTTGATACTGACTGACTGAGCCATCAGTTTAATGTCTGTCCGGTCATTTAGCGCTAATAGAACTCTATCGATCTTGAAATATCAGGTGATCGGGACTGATTGACAAAAAACCGTGCTTCACTCATGTTTATTGCTAGTCGGCGTTTATCAGCAAAACATACCTGGAATCTTGAGTTAGAAAACGGATGCTACCTGCAGTATTCGGACTCACCTCATCCGGTTTCACACTCTGAGACGTTACTACTGAGATATTCAGGTGCAGATCAGCCTCCTGTAAGATTAAGACGTTTATGATTAATTGGTCACTGAGTTGAAACCAATGTAGTGTTCGTTTAGTCCTTTAGTGCTTATCGGGTCCTGTGTCATCTACTGTATATTCCAATGATCTTAGAATAGTTTTTTATATTTTACAAATAATAACACCTTACGTTTACTGTTAAGTAAGGATAATTGTTATTCAAGTAAATGTTTCTTTAGAAATTTGATTAGCTTAAAAAGGGTTTTCACTACGAACTGACGTTAGTTGAAAAAACTGTAATACGTTTCGTGTTATCATAGGGGATTCTTTTGCCCATACACTAATGGAATGCTGAAGCTCAGATTTCACGTTAAGCACGTTGCGTTTATATCAATTTTCAATTACGTTAGCTCATGGTACAATACAACTATCATTCAACTTTATAGGTGAATATCTGCCTTGCCTCTGACTTCAACAATGACACTACAGTTTACAAACTGTTTGGGAACACGATTTTATTATGCGAACATTAAAATACAACCTGTCCAAAAGCCTAGTTTATTCAGCGTCATTTCATTTGTTCGGATCAAAATCCTTAGTGACTCATATAATCATATAAATAGTGCAACAGCTCTGCTTTGTTCATCACCAGTAAAATGGAATGTTTAATTTGTTCTATGCTCACTTGTCTGATTGTTAAGACAATCATTTTTGTGTTTATGTTGGGAAATATTGTTCAGTTGTACTTCGGTGCACTAATTCTTCCCTTAGGTCATGTTATTACTATAGCTTCTCATGAAAATTTCCTTACATTTTTCTCGTCTCAAGTCATATATGAACTGCGTTTTTCGAAAAAATACTCTATTTGATATTTTTCAAATTAAGGATGATCGTACTTAAAAGTTCACTTTTTATATAATTGTATAACCATTCAATACATTCGTGAATTTTTTTATTTTCTCTTACTAAAAATAGTCCCTACTAAATTCACATGTTTTCTGAGGCTGAAATCCCGGCCGGTGTTCATATTTATATGCACACAAAATATTTCAAAGCAAATACAATTGGGAGTGATTTATATCAGGCCTACTATGTCAATAGGTCAAGCGTATATCAGATAAGACTAGGAAAGGGAAGCGAATGGATCATAGAGATTGAATTAATGATTATTAGTCATTATAAGATAATAGGGTTTCAATGACACATTTATTTGACACATCTTTATTTGCTCACGACAAGATAGGGTTGTATCAGTAAATAGATCAAAGATGGGTTGAGTACATATTCATAAAGAGTAATTTAATTTATTTCATAAAGTTGATGTTGTTCCTTTATATTGTTTTCTATTCAGTTTTTGGTTTATATTAACCTAATGACTAAAATTATCGTTCCTAACTCGTTGTGTACTCATCTTCAACCTAGATTTCGTTCCAGCTGGTATCGGTCAACAATCCTTACATTCAAACTTTGGGCAACGGATACTTCTTGTGGATGTCAAAACCACATCATCTAGCTTCACAGGTTGGCATGTTACCACAGAAGCATTCGGACAGTGACTGATTTCCTGTAAGACTAACATATTTACCGATGACTGATCGTAGAGTAGTGACCAACGTAGCTACATTTCATCTTACTCGATAGAATTCGATCAGTATTGAGTACCAGACAAACATGGCCACTGGTTATCAATCGCTGCTCAATCAGTTTATTCAATTAACCAATCAATGTTAAATTTAGATTAATGGTTATTCATGTGTTTTTTCCCATCTGATTGTATCATACTATAACTATTGTTTATTTTAACGAAGAATATGTCAAAATATTTTCCGTCTATGACTTATTACTTATTTATAGGGTTCTGGATGGATGTTGGACAACCGAATGATTTTCTCAAAGGTACAAATTTGTATCTAAATTACTTAAAACAATCAGATCATTCGAAAGAACTAGCAACTGGATCTAATATTCATGGAAATGTTTTAATCGTAAGTTATATGCCTCTAACAGTCCACATTTCTGAATTCCTATTTCTTTGCTTTTATTGATTAGAGATACAGTGGCAGCTTAGTAGTTCGACCGGAATCACTCAAAAAGTTTTCTAATAACTAACATTTCGAATCTCTAAATAACTCCAGAATTCAAATCCAATTCCTTTCACTTCAAATGCCAACGCGTTATTCACTTAGCTACTGGGTTCAAATAGCCACTCACTTGTGAAATGGGTTTGAATTTGAATTTAATTTGTAACGATTCGGATTATCCCGTTGTTAATGTCCTGAACGAACTTTGATCAGCCTTAGTTAAGTCAAGATTGATGCCCGTTTCACAACTGAGTGGCTATTTTGGACTCAGTAGCTAAGTGAATAACATGTTGGCGTTTGAAGCGAAAGTAACTGGATGTGAATCCCGAAGTGAACACTAACTCTGGAATGAAGGCATATTCAGCTAACAAGTCCGAAATAGGATGAAACATACACCCTGAATTATACTGCTAGTTAAATTCTATCTATTTTTTATTAGGCCAATTATTCAACCATTTATTTTTTTTATGAGTAGCATTCGAAAATTAGTCTCTGGTTTTTAAAAAATGAATCGAGATCAAAATTCGTGCTTCCTTTCTCAGTTCCTTATAGCGTAGAATGTAGCAAATTGTAATGATACATACTTGTACTAGGTCTTACGTTGTTGATAATGTTTTGTGGTTTTTCCTACAGCCTTAATTTTTTCACGGTCATTATTTTGTAGCATCCAACTGCCTCAGTTTCACCTACTTGTGTTCTTGGACCGAGTGTTGTTATTGGGCCAGAGTGTATAGTTGAAGATGGAGTAAGAATTCGTAATTCCACCTTACTTCAAGGGAGTATTATTCGTTCTCATTCTTGGCTAGAAACTTGTATTATTGGTTGGCGATGTACTGTTGGGCAATGGGTAAGTCTGTTGATATACTTTGTATTCCTTTGAAAATGTCATCACTGATGGCATATATACACATTTATTATAAATTGTAATAATATTACATGGTTTTAAACGTGTAATAAATTGCTTATAAGTATATCTTTGGTAGATTTCACATTATATATAACCAAATTAAAGCCTTAGAAATATTTCATTTTTCATTTTTTGTGTTTGTCTGTTAACCAAGAGACCACTGGATATTTATAATTGAGGTTTATAGGAAAGTTTAAAACTCAGTTGTCATAACAATGCAAAAAAATCATGTTTCGTTGTTTAACATCATGTCCTTCTTTGTCTTAGTACTCTTTTCCCTCGAATACCCTAGTTCGATTGAACGTTGAGAAAGCCTGCTGTCTCTCTTTCGAAACGCTCTTATGCGGCAATCCATTTATAGCTTCTGTCAAAGTAATATTATGTTCTGCACGCGGCCGGTTTGTTTTACAGAAATGATAGAACAAAAAAACGAATGTTCAACACTTAAACCAGATTGGGAGATACAGAGGTTTCACCTAGGAGAATGGGAAAACCTTGATTCCAAACCATCGGTATATATAAGTTCCGGGATCCTAAAGGAACGAATGGCATGTTAACCTGTTTTTAGTCGTCAGTTACCACGAAAAGGGACTTCTTGATGTCGCTGCACTAGTTTGTGGATTTGACCTTTAGGTGTGTGGAACATGCATTTCAACTCGGGCTCCCATTCAGCATCACAAATTTTCGTTTGGTGTATATTATATTCTTGGTGCTCAGTTGTGCCAGATTTCATGTGAATTAAATAAATGAATGATGACTGACAACTTCGCTTCATTTAACTTGAGACAAATACAAACTATGATAATTTGAAAGCAAAATATATTCTAGCTAGTCCGTACAACAATGTTTTGTACAATAAATAATAAAAACACAAGATATCAAATAGAATTTCCGTGCGAAATGCCTAGTGTCTTCTAGATCCATCTGCTACTGCTGATTGAATGGGAATAGACTCATCATCATATTCAGATTTGGGCCTTTATTAAACATCCTATTATTAGGATTCTGTCATGCTTATAACTGGCAATTAATATGAAACTTTATACTTGAAACACTTAACCACCCGTTTGTTCCATCTTTAATGAAACTGGTTTGGAATTTGATTTTTTTCAGCACCACTTTCCAGGATCACCTTTACTTTAAAATACTCAACATATGTAGTATACTGTCTATAATTAATATAGAACTAGAATTGTATCATTCGTTTATCTCAGACATTCTTTGGTCAATAGAGCGACGGTTCAATAGTTAAGGCGTTCGACTTTCAGCCATAAAATCGTAGGTTCAAACCTCTTTTTACATACTTCAGTCTGAGCAACCGCACAGTACTACCAGCCCTTACACCTAAAATGTGGCTTCAAGCCATTGCATGAATCTGTAACGGATAAATGAGTTCATAAAACGTTATTTGATCAATACCAATTCATATTCTCACCATCAATGTATTCTGATTTATTATTACTTTTAGGTAAGAATGGAAAATGTCACCGTCTTAGGTGAAGATGTCATTGTATCTGATGAATTATTTGTAAATGGTGCACGTGTATTACCACACAAAAGCATTGCCCAATCAGTTGTTGAACCACAAATTATTATGTAACATGCCTGGTATGGAAACTCTTGTAAAGTGCTGTGATCAAAACTCTTTCTTTTCTGCCCATACTCCTACTATTCTTATAATCGGTACTAATCTATCGCCTTTTTATTTCAACAACTTGTTTTCCACGTAGGAATATTATCGTTTTTTTATGTTCCACTGACTGCTGTTATAATTGTTATTTTGTTTAATTTCTTTATTTTTTGTTCATTTAAAACATTTTACTAGAAATAAATCCAACCAAATTCTAGTTCAATGAAATGTCACTTCCCGCTTATTTTGGTTATTCTTATTACTAATGTAGGAAACAAAATTTATATTTGCTATCCAGTGCTTTCTTTTATGTTGTTGAAAGTTAATATGAATTAGTTTGTTTTAATCAGTTGTTAAATGGTTTGCTTTTTGTATTTTTTTGATTTCTATATTTAAATATATGCATTATTTGGATTGGAATTTGTTCAGTAATATGAATTTTATCCTAAGTCGACTTGTTATCTTTAAATTTGGCAAATTAAACTTTCTAGGATTTTTATACGTAATATTTGTTTTAATTCATTCCGTTTAGATACTTGACTTTTGCTTAGTCAGGGAGAACATTGGCTTAATTTTTTACGACAACTTAATTGAGCCTGCCACTCCGCTTTAGGCATAAGTTACTGAACAGGGATGTCTGAGCAACTCCTTCCTAGGCTCTTGTTTGCAGTTGTTACCAAGTAAAATTCGTGGTTTTAATGTCTGCCCTCGACTCCCGACACTATTTTTGGTTTACCTCTTCTTTTGCCCAGAGGACTTTATACTGAGGCTTGTCCTGTGATGGCTTGCGCTAAGTTTGTTCTATCCACCCAGTGTTCTCTAATTTGCTCCTCAGCTGGCAGCTTATTGGTTTTTGCTCGAAGCTACTGTTTGTTCGAACCCCATATAAAGGAGGGGTATTGGAGGTAGGGTTCGCAATCCCATCTCGTAAAAAAGAATCGCACAAAATAGGTAACTGGAAAAGCCAACCAAACTACTCGGAGTTGAATAGACCTTCGCTACAAGATAATGTTGAAGAACTGCTTTTTGCACTCACACTTTAACTGAAAACATTACACGGTAGGATCACTAGATAGATCACAATACTAGACCACACAGACACAATGTTCCACCAAGGACTGACGAGGAAATGGCCCAGACACTAGTTTATCAATACAAGTACAAGCGGCGAAACAGTGAAGTCCATGATAGGTATCACAGTCAGATACAAAATGATCACTTATATTCCTATGGCTGCATGTCTGTCTCCGCTCATTGACCAACCACACCTTACTACCATTGGGTTGTGGGTTGAAATCCAGCACTATTTGTACTAGTTTGGATAGTCGATTAGTACGAAACAACACTAAAATTCAATGCGAAGTACGTGTACTTATATTTCATTGCTCCATTTTGTTGGAATTCGGTCAAACATATAAAATCTATGTTTTACCTAACTCAATACATGATGCTCAATGATTACGTAGTGTGTGCTACTGATGTCGACAGCTGTATGTATCACCAATCGGAAGTGAAATTCTCGGTGGCAGGAGATTAAGAAGATCGAAGGACAGAGAATGATTGGATTGTAAATGAAGAAACAATCAAGTCTGAAACAATTGATTGACATTTTGTAGGTGATGTATTTACTGTATGGTTCTCAGATTTTACTAATATATTCTGTAATGTTGTATTAAAATATATTCGATTGTCCACAGCAGTGTTCTCGTTCACTATAAATGCGATATACGTTTAGATCTATCATTAGTGTGCTTAAAGTAGCAACATAGCTTATGGGTTAACACTTAGTTTTGTTCAGTTTGTTTTTGATGCGGTAGCGATGGCAACAAATGAGCATCACCAACATATTAAAGTTTTGCTTTCTATTGATTGAAACTTTTATACTGTCCGTATTAGTTAGTGATTTTCAGCACAATTTCCAATTCTCATAAGTTATTTAGATTGTTGACTGACTTGAGAAAAAAAGATTTGTGGCTCTATAGATAAAATATTCTGATTTCGAACTTCCACATATTTCTTCTACTTGCATTTAGTCATTACAGTGTCTATCCAGAACATAATCATGAAACAATACCTGATGTATGTAGAGCAGGTTTAAAACTAGCTATTAGACTTATGATAATGATTGGTCATGAATGAGAATTACTCAGAACAATGAGGTTAGACTTCCTCTTATTGCATCACATGCCAATCATATAATTGTCTTGTATTTCTTATTTTTTTTGTCATACATTTTTATTTGCAGTCATTTCAACATATCGCTCTAGTATGAGCGAATTCAAGATAAATTTACTATGGTCCTGGTTGGTCCTCAGCACTGCGCATCCATGAACTTGCGCGATTTCTAGTGAGAAATCGTGATTGGTGGCGTTCAACCGTGCCGGGAATGGGAGAGTTACCCACTTAAGACAATGAAAGACGATCGCGTAAAATTGTGGATTGTTTGAAGTTAGACATTGCCACTGTTGGTTGCCGTTTCAGTGGTCTAGGAGTTAAGCGTTCACGCGTGAGACCAAATGTCCTGGGCTTGAATCCCACGTTCGGGTTCATGGATGTACACTGCTGAAGAGTCCTATACTAGAACAAAACAGTCACCCACCGCTTCCAGGTTTTCAGTGGTGGTCTAACACTGATCGGTTCGTGATCTCAACTAAAACTCAATCTCGACAACCACATACTGATAATTATAAATTAGGTTAGTTCAATGGACATTTTATTTGTTGGTTAAACGCATTAATGTCAAGGAGTCAGGATTTTTTTATGAATGGCTATACTCTAATAGCGTAAAACGTAATTCTTTTGAACAGGTCTGGTTTGGTTTAGTGATACTTCATGAACAGTTCGAAAAGCAGAAGTTACTCTTGACGAGATCAAGTAAAAATGTTTAGTTTTTGGATTTCATTTTATTGATGTATAAATACATTACAGTGATCGTAATGCATTTGAATTACCAAAAATTAATGAGTCTTGAGGTTCAGTGTTTTTTCATGACTATAACTAAAGGAAATGATCCTTTATTAATAAAGTGTCTCCTCTTAATCGATTGGTTTCCCTACCACAAGTACCACCTGGAAATGGTGGTCGGAATTGCTTATTTTGATGCCAGTTGAGCTACATTGTCTGGAATATTTGTTCCTTGAGGTCTTACCATCCCAGCGAGGTCAGTTGGAGAGACAGAGATCAAGATATTTTTCTTGAATTATTTAATGCTAAACACTTAAAATTAGTAGACTTCAACTTGATCACAGCATACTCGCTTTTACAATGTGAGTGTTTACGAAGACAGTGATCACTGTCGTTTTGGTTTGAAAGTATTTGAATTAATTATTTTTGTTTATTCATTTTTGTTTCTTTGAATGAGTGTCAGTTATCGTGAATTTTCAGTAAATTTATGAACCCGACTTTAACATAGGTTGACTTATTATCCACAAACAGCTTAAGAACTCGAATATCTATTAATAGCGCTGATGATCCAAATCAAACTCAATTTTTAAATTTCATTTAAATTTTTTTTAATTTGTGATGTTTATCATAAGAGAAATGACTACTTCTATTTAAGAACTTACTAGGGAGGTTACCTTCAGGTTTATTTAGAATTTATTCGATAGCTCTGTGATAATATCTCACACTTTGTAACTGGTTTATGAGCGTTTGAACCACACAGAGAACACCAATTCCATAATAATTATAGATATCTTTTGCTACTGAGTTCCAAATAGCATGGGACCTAGCCCCAGGGTTTCCTGTTGACTATATCTAACCATCCACTATTTCAACATAGTGCACATCTTGTCAAGTCACTTAGATTAGCAGTCACATTCTACTTTGATCGATATTATTTGATATGTATTGAGGGGCCAGAGAAATCTAACATTGGTCACTACTCAGTAAAACGTCAGTCGAAAATTATTTCCTCAAGTAATTTAGACCTATTTCTGAATATATATGTATGTTTCCGTGAGTGATTTCTTCAAATGAATTGACTTTGTCCAGATAGCTTAGTAAGAAACATTCATTCTGACGATATTTGAGATCAAAAGTAAGGAGTATGTGCTCAAAAAACAAAACATGTAGAAGGAACTCTTAAAAAATAGAAGTTCATAGAAACGAACTAGATCACAGAAACAGCAACTGAAAAACTGACTTCTATTTGAAGTAGCACTGAAGATGTCTAAAATGACAGTGAAATTCCACAATTAAACTAAATAGCTCGGAGAACACATTAACAACATATGCTTATGTATATATATTTAATGAAAGGTTGTTATCGGGCGAGGGACATACTATATAATTGAGTGTGACATCAATATAAGATTACTCTTTTTGATTCAAATAATAGACACCAGACGACTGAGAGATTTGTCAGTAAAATGTCATGTACTATGCAATGTAATCATATACTTATATACAAACTGTCTAACTCAGAGATAAATATCATTTTAAAAAATTCATCTCAAAAGTTTGGGTGTTAATGAGATATGATTAGATTTGTAGTGACTCACGTTTATTACGAGAACACGACTGGTTCAATAAAAACAATTATTATTATAAACAGTTGTACCAGTGTTTATTTTAATGTGCTTTTGTTTGACTGTGCTAATGACAGCTATATTGGGCTTCCATTCTTGTTCACACACTTCGATTGTAATTCCGCGCGAATTCGGTTACCTTCTGTAACCAAGCTTGTATCCTGGCACGATCTCGGTATCCTTTCGATACCACGAGATCGCCAGTGAATAAATTTTGACTTGGTCCATTTTCTGCCTTCTGATATTTGGCTTCTCGGGGTTTTTATGGAGTCATTTGGAACGAGCTTCTTGGTAGCGGTGTACATAGTCAATCTCGACTCGACCCCACGCTACAGATTAAAGCATAATCCGTGCAGTACTGTGTTCGGTCATTTATTACCCAGTTCGTGCTCGTGGACATTTGAAGAAGAAGAAAGTAGAATCTTCGTGTGTAAAAATTACAAATATAGCATTGTTTTTCTTATTGCAGTTCATAATTCCATCCAACCTTGTTTATTTGGAATATAGTTGTTTTCCTGTTTAACCATGTTCTGATGTGATGACTTTTCGAATGAAGTAATCTCCAAAGAGAGAGAGGAGGAATAAAAATGAAATTAAGATGTCAGTACCAGATGATCGGAACAACCGAATCTCACAACAAAAAAACTCGGCCTGATGCACAGTTGCAATTGTAGGGAACATTGATGCAACAGCTTAAAATCAACTGCTTGAATTCACACGATATTTCAAGTATTTCTCGTGATGCAGTTACCAGCAGCATCCCAGTATTCAGTACTGACCTCAAAATTGAAAATACTTCCCTCACGTGGTTCAAGCGATACGAATAATCATCTAGAATATAATTTAGCAAGTAAAATGATTCGTGGAAGTCTCGGATGGTTATTTCGTGCC